TGGTTCCTGTCAATTTTCACAGTCCTATTGGGAAAACTTTGAAAACACTTTGACTTCAAAATTCAGAATTAAAAAAATTCAGAATTGAATTTCTCTTAGGGAAATGGAGATTGAAAAATGTATTTCCTTTATATTTTCACAACCACTTACTCATTTTACATACATATTACTATCTGTTTAGTTGTATAAGAGTTACAAAGACAGGTCTGTGATTTTTGGTTTCTCTTTGATGTGTTTTTTTTTTTTTTTTACAGACACGAATATAAGCTCTTACAAAGTAATTCATTTTCAGAATTGGCATTTGTGTGGATGTCTCTCAGAAAATCTGCGGTTTCAAATGTTTTCACTTTGTTGGGCAGAGAAGGGCACTAAGTATCTCTGAAGACCTTCCTTGTGGCGTAGATTCTCAGGAAATTCCCTGGCTGCAATTTCTTGTCAGTCAGTCAGTACACCACTGTGACTCCTCAATTATGTGCTACAATCTGTTTTCTCCTAAATCATAATGCAAAATAACTGCCATTTAAATAATTACATTAAGTATTCTTTTTAGAAATACCTCCCCTTTTGCCAAGATAGGAAAAAAATATGTTTTCCTGTTATTTGCACCTGAATCACAATAAAAAAATTGATGGTCTTCAAATAGTACATCTTATCAGGAAACAAATCTACACTTTTGACATGGAATAGGAAGCATTTCATTAAGAATGTAGAACAGCTTGTTTGTGGGAGCTAAACTTTGACTTAAATGCTCCTTTGACTTAAGTGGCTGGGTAGCTCAGTTGGTTAGAGCATCATCCTGATGAGACAAGGTTTCAGGTTCGATCCCTGGCCAGGGCACATACAAGAATCAACCACTGAGTGCATAAGTAAGTGGAACAACAAAGTAATGTTTCTCTCAGTCCCTCTCTCTCGGAAATCAATAAAAAATGCTCCTGAATTAATATGGAATTTTAAGACCTACGATTATTAATGACCTATTTTTACAAAGTTACATTTAAATTTTCTTATAAATCACTTTCATACTTACAAAATAAATATAATTGTATCCCTAGATGCAGTGTAGTGTGGTGGTGGGACGATCAGAGGTTTGGAGTTAGACTCGGGTTTGAGTTCCAACTCTACCAACCAGCCAGCTGCATGATTTGGAGTGAGTTATTAAAACTCTCTGAGACTCAATTGTCTCTCCGATAAAAAGAGAGTAATATAATTTGTCTCAGAAGGATATGAGGATTAAATGAAATGACAGAAACATGCTTAATACAATGCATGGGTCATAGTGCTTGACCAATTAATAAGAGATGTATTGTTAACTACATTTCCTTATCATCAAAAAGATTTACTCTAAGTGCCTTCATTAAATTGTCAAGAGATAATCATGACTCATGGAAATTATGAAATAACAAAGAAATAGTAAGGCACCTGTGTGGCCACATGGCTTATTAGAAACAGGAAAGTAAAAGAGCTCTGTTATATTATAAGAATACCAGTTTTAGGACATGGTGATAGTATTGGATCGGAGTCTACAACTCTTGTTATTACAAACTCTAAGAGGGGAAATTATCTAATTAATATTTGCAGCCAAACACCTTTTTTGATATAATAAATTATTTCAGAATTGGATTTAATTAATTCTTGTTATACCTTCTTTACACTGGAACCTCAACCTGGGCCTCAAGGAAAAGGCTTTACTTTGTAAAAAACTGAACGAGCACACTAAAAGACAGTCCTCTCTATCTTGTGCAAAACACTGGAACAGAAATATTAAATGAAGACTTTATCTTTGTTGAGGGAGAGTGGAAGAAGCAGCAGGGAAGTGAAACATGTTCTGACTATAATTATATTCCAGACTCTGTGTGTTACATACATAACTTAATTACCCCATTAGACTAAAAGGTGGTACTTTTTAAAATAAATGCTTTTTCTGCCTTTGGTTACCAATAAGGCTGAGCATCTTTCCCAAAGTCAACTTGCTTGTGACATTTTCAGCTTTGTGATCTACATGTTCCTTATCTTTTAACTTTTTTATTGTGATAACATATACAGTCCATAAAATGTGTCACATTAATAACCACCTTAAGTGCTGCAGCATTAAGTACATTCACATTGTTCTGTAACCATCACCACCACCCATCTCCAGAACTTTTCGTCTTTCCAAACTGAAGTTTTCGTACCTGTAGAACACTAACGCCCATCCTCTCCCATCCCTGCAATCACTGTTCTGTTTTCTGTCTCTCTAAATTTGACTACTCTAAGTGTTTCATGTAAGTGGGATCATATGATATTTGTCTTTTTTGACTGGCTTATTTCATTTAGCATAATGTTTCCAGGTCCATGTTGTATCATGGGTGAGAATTTCCTTTCTTTTTAAGGCTGAATAGTGGTCCCTTGTATGTACAAACAAGCCTGTTATTCACACATTAACAAGCGTGTGGGCTGTTTCCATCTTTTGGATGGAAACTGTAAAAAATGCTATCATGAACACTAGTGTACAAATATCTGTCTGAGTCCCTGATTTCAAGTCTCTTGTGTATATACCCAGAAGTGGAATTGTTAAATCATAAGGTAATCCTATTTTTAATTTTTAAGGAGCTGCCGTACTGTTTTTCATAGTGGCTGCACCATTTTACATTCCCACCAGCAGTGCACAGGGTTCCAATTATTCTACATCCTTACCAATACTTACTGTTATTGTTTTGATAACAGGCATCCTAATGAGTGTGAAGTCCACTGATTGTTTAAAGTTTTAGGATTCCTTATTGATTTTTATGAATACTACAAAATAAAGATATTAACTCTTGTATCATCTCCTGCTAATCTCTTCCAGCCTATTCACTTTTTTATTTAGTTATGCATTTCATTTACAGAGCAATATTAATCTGGTTGCTATCCACTGTCTTTCTCTCTTCAGTGCATTGCTATGATTAGAACCATGCTGAAAAAGTGATCTCTATTGATTATACCTAATAGAAGGTTCTTTGTTGCCTATTTTTTTCTTTTGGTAGTGCTGGTGTATCAAAGAGTGTGATAGGTCAACTTTTGGGAGAATTCTTCTAAGAGTAACTCATATATAGCTGTAATCTTAAATAGGAACATATGAATTCATTTTTGTGAACTGAATCATGTTGGGCGAACTAGGAAATAAAAGTGACTCAAAGTGACACTAATTCTAGGTAAGCAATAATCCCCTAATTAATGTTTTATTTGTTTAGGACAGAACATGACTTTAGTGAATATATAGATAACACCCCATTAAAGCCTGATCTTCCTGACAACCAAAAGTATTTGGACCCCTCCTGACAACCAAATATTTTCCCTTAACTAAAGGTTTAGCTGATTAAGAATTAACAAAATGATCACATACATGGGAATGAAAATTCATAAATAGTAATGTTTGAAGTCCCCAGTTACCTTGAACATACTTAGACCGAATGACGAACATTAGATTGAATGTCTAATATTAATTCATTGTGGTCTTGTGGTCGGCAGAATTCTAAGCCGATCCTCCATGACCCACGCAGGAGTGGGGACAGGACCTATTACTCACTTGTAACCAGTGGAATATGACAAAGGTGAAGATATGTTGCAAATGTTATTGAAGTCCATAATCAGTTGATTTTTAACTTAATCAGAAGGGTGGTTACCGTGAGTGCGCCTGACCAAAGTAGGTGAGAGCTTTAAAAAAAATATCTAGAGGTCAGAGACTCACTGTTGCTGTATTTGAAGAAGCTGCCAGGAATTCGACAGCTGCAAGAAATGGATTCTGCCAGCAACCTAAGGGAGCTTGGAAACAGGAAGTTCCCTAATTGAGCCTCCAGATGAGAGTGCAGTCCAGGTGACACCTCGATTTCAGCCGTGTGAGACGCTGAGCAAAAGACCCAGCTAAGCCAGGCCTGGCCTTCCGAGCCACAGAAACAGTGATATAATCATTGTGCGGGGCTTGAAACTGCTAAGCTTGTGGTAATTTGCTATGCAGCAATAGAAAGCTCCTACAGGTCCAAGACAAGGTGGCAAGTGTCATAAATGTGATAGAACAGAATCACACCGATCAAGGGTAGGTAGTGGAGCAAAGCAGGGAGTAAACAG